ACGACGGCAGCCCGGAGAGGGGCTGCAAGGATAGAGTTGACGACAGGCGGGTGGAATCGGCACAAACAGCAGCAGCAACACGATGAAACTAAATATATAAGTACTGTCAGAAGGTATTTGCGATGTGGGCATTTTCGTTATATGAAAATATTGTTAGTCTTTTGAATAAATCATCAGATAATCGAGCTGCTTTACCATTTTACAAACACATACATACACTGAATGTAGAGAACAGACACTTGGAAATAATTGATTTCGAATTGTCCATGTACTTTGATCTCATTTATTGCCACCATTAAAAAGTTAGTGCTTTTGCCAACCCTTCAATCAATTTACATTCGAGTAAACTTTATATATATGTATGCTAGTAATTCCAAAAATTATTCCATCGATTCCATTCAAGCCGCCTCCCCATCAAATTTTGTCTCTTTCTCTCTCTCTCTCTCTCTCTCTCTCCCTATCTCTCTAACTTTCCGACGTGAATCGGAAAAATAGCTTTCACCGCACACAACCAACAAACTCAAAACAGAATACATCGAAACTTTGTGCTCATTTGACGCTTTGTGAATATGCCATTTGAATTATTCAATCATTTTTAAAGCGTATGGTTTTTGTGGAAAAAACACATTGTGGCTAAAGATTCACTGTCCATATTTCGCGCTTCAATCCGTTTTCACTCTTTTTCCATTCATGTGTGTTTCTATTTCGGTTTCATTCCACAAACACACATATATCACTTCTATTTCTGAGTGCCTGCTGATTTACAATTTCAAATTGGACAGAAGTAGATGCGACACGTTTTTCTTCATTATCCATGGTAGTTTTTTTCCCTCCTGTGATGGAGTGAGCGTGTCTGCAATCACATGGCTTTTGATTATACGCTCGGAATGAAATGAAATGACAAAAGATCGAACGACGATGGTAAAAGCATTCGATATATTGAAGGGAACCCTTTCTCCTGCCGAACAGAAATAGAGCAATCAAATGAATTCTGCCTGTAAGTGGAAGATCCACTGAGATTCAGTACAATTTTTATCATCATATTTAAACAGTCGATTCATCTTTAGTGGATAGATGGATGAGATGTAAAATCAATTTACTTTGGAATTGGAATGGTTTTTGATTTTGAGCCATTGAATCGACTTTTTTTTTTATTTCGCCATTCGCAATTTGAAGTTGTGGCTTTTGCTTGTGATGGATTTTAATTGGAAATAGAGAAATATTGAAGGAACAAAAATTGAAATTTAAAATGTAAAATACTTACTTTTGTCGACAATTTCATGAGATCATCGATTATTTCAATCATTTTGTCAATTATTGTTTTAGATTGTTGTTTTTGTTTTTTCATTTATTTTGATGCGATTCATGATTTCATTCATAAATTTCGGGTCATGTCAGTGGTGATTCACCACTGGTGAATAAGGTGACCAACTCTGTTTCAGTGAAAATCCGTACAAATGAGTGAAATTTACTTGAAAAATCCGTACAAATCCGTACACTGAAAAAAAAATCCGTACAAAAATGCGGTACATGTAAAAAGACTGAAAATAAGTGATATTTTTATTTCTTGATAGTATGAAACACATTTAAATATTTCTCTTCTGAGGTATCAATGAAAATAAATCAAAAATTCTCATCGATTGACATATTTAAATCTACAGTTTGATCTTGTTCCTCATTCTTGAAAGCATATTTGTCTTGAGCGAATTTTTTTTTATCAAATCTTGATTGCCTTCTAACATGTTGTAGAACTCAATGCACGAATAATCTAAGTTTGATTTCCATCCGAAGAAATATTTATTTTGGATTTGCAAATCGTACAATGAACCTTAATGTCATTAGTTTCACTTTTTCTCAAAAAATCATACTTCTTTTGAAGGTCTTGGTTGAACACACATTTTCGGCGCGACATTTCGTATTAAAAGACACACGACAAAACAAGCAATTGTCTTTCAATCAATATGATCGATTTAGCTTCAGAGAGTGAACTGAACTCATTGCATCTTTCTTAACTACTCATAAGTACGAATAAATGGTTACGATTGACTTTTTGAATTATGATCGAAAAATCCAGAAACAAAATTATGATGACGAAAATATTTATATTAGGAGAAGTTGCCATGATTCGTTGACATGTTTGTTGACAACTCATGCTGCATGCAATGTCAACGTCGTTTGTTAGTTGCTTACATTATTGGTTTTCTGAAAATCGATTTCAGTTGCTCACACTATTAGATTTGAGTTGATGCAAACTCGTTTCATCGACGGAACGATTAAAAGAAGTTAAGAATTGAAAAACAACAGTAAAAACAATGATATATCAATAACTGGAATTGTTTGCATAAGTTCTGTATACATTTTTGATGTGTATTTCACGAATTTAGAGATTTGGTTAAAGATTTTTTTTTCATTTTGTTTAAATTCCGAAAATCCGTACAAATCCGTACAAAATCGGCAAAAATCCGTACCGGACGGGACATGAGAAAAAATCCGCGGAAAGACTGAAAAATCCGTACTGTCCCGCAAAAATCCGTACGGTTGGTCACCTTAGTGGTGAAGATGAACGCCATAGAATCATTCGAATTGCACATTTATTTAACAAGATAAGTATTTCTCCAACGATGGGACGTGATAGAAGGTATGTCATTTTCTGGAATCAAATTTTTAGAAAATAACATATGTGTTTGCGTGTGGTTTTCCTCGATTTTCTTTCACTCTGATTATCAGAGTCTGATAACATTTACCGATTTTGTCTTGGAACTCGATGTGCTCTAAAACTTTGCTATAGACAGCAAACAGCTATCTGCTAGGGGCTCTATTATATGTAGATATTTTCTCATTGAATTTTCGAAAATATTGTGAATATACGTGAATAAATTTAGATTAAAAAAATGCAAGATGGCGGCTGGTGAGAACGGCTGAACCGTCAAAATAAGAAACACTGAATATCTATGAATATGAGTGGATATTTTGTGGATATTCTGTGGATAGGAGTGAATATCTTTTAAAACACACTAAAATAAATGAATTTTTTCGATAAAAAAAAATGATACTTCCCCCTAGGCTATCTGGTATCAGTGATTTACCGCGAAAATAAAACGTTCAATAAAATTCAAATTTTCAGTTTCATCTAGAAAAATCGCATTGGAATCATTCATTCCACATCTGATCGATGGGAAAATGCATTTAATGGACGAATTGATTGAAATATCTAATGGAGAAAAACTGAACGATTCGATTCAATCGTGTTACCATATAATTAAAAACAACAGAAAAAATGGTAATGACAGCTAGACCGCAAAAGCTTCTCTCTCTCTCTTTTTCATTCCATATGAATATTAAAAAAATTTCGGGTTTTTCAATTATTCAAAACCATAGTTTTCAATTTAGCTTGTCAATTTGGTGATGGATATTGAAGAAATATATTATTACCATCGACAAATTAAATATTTGTATCCATACTATGCGGCAGACATATTAATAAAAATTATTATTTAATGTAACGCCTTTATTACGAATGTAATTAATATCACTCGATTGACACTCGAAATGCATAATGCGATATAAAATATGTATTTATCGTTTGAAAGTAAAATAGAAAGAAACTGCACGCGTAGTGCAAAAGAAAAAAATAAATATGCAACACAAACTTTCTCCTGTGTGACATCATGTTGAAAAATGTTATAATGCCAAATGCGATGTCCAAATATGCTTGAATTTTTGCCAATGCTGGCAAAAATGTTTCCTTTCAATGTATTTATTCATGAAAACCGATTAAATTCGCTACACTGAATCCCGTCTTTGATATGGCATTTTCGAATTTCTTAATGAATGTATTAAAGTGTAAAGCATTGCCACACTTCAACGCCTTCATTCGAAGCGTCTCGATGAAGCTGGCTGTGTATCGCCGAAAAGTTTTCGGAAAATGCGAATTGACGAAGATGATGAAGAAAAACCCCAAGAATTGCTTCCCACGTTTTCTTCGTTGCTAACATTTTAATTTGATTTGCTAATTATTCACACTTCCTCTACGATGATGGAGAAGGGAATAATAACTTTTTTTGAACGTCATACCAAACCACAAAGAAAAATGAAGAATATAAAAAGTGCAACACAGACCAAATGATCGTATCAAATGTTTTTTTTTCTTCTGATGTTGTTTTCCTTTCTGTTTTGCGTCGTAAGTGCTTTTCACGAAAACGGTGGCAAAGCATTACCAACTATAAGCCGTTGAATGAACACCGCAAAACGACCAAAATGAAAACCATGCGAAATGATTGAATTTGATTTTTTGGAAAGAGAAATAAACTGTGTACTATGCGCAGATGGTGCTAGTTTCTAAATATTCAAAAAGAAAATCAAAACACAAAGATGAAGAAAAAAAAATCACAGTCCATAGAAGCGAACCAACCAAAGTGGTGGGTATTGGTCATGGCATTCAATTTTCGACTTGAATTCAATTCAATTCAATTGAATTGGCTATTTACATTGCCCATTGTTTCTATCGTTGCAGGTGAAATAGTACAAACCTTTTCACAGGTTGCACGCTTCAACATCGTCCACTATAACAAAAGCGATATGTTTTTACCGGGCTACTGCTACCGTTGCTGTTTCTGCTGCTGCTACTACAGCATTTGGCCCGAACAATAGTAACTATAATGTGAATTTGATAAATTTTGTGAAACGCACTCAGAGAATTGAGCTGGCATGCATTTTTTTCCGTCTCATTTGTTTGTATGTGTATTTTGTGACTGCGTTCCTCTCTCAACCTAAAGGCATTTCAATACGAAATGTTCCCTACTTCAATCAACCCATTCGATATAGTCATCCAGCGATGAAATTCCCAAATTAAATACACATTGAACCGAATAGACATCCATATTTTCAGATGCCGCTCCATTCGTTGTCATCGTCATCGTCAATCTTTTATTGTAGCGAGAATGTATTCAATCAAAGTGCCTCGCTTAGCTAATAAATGTTTTCGTTATTTAATGTTTTCGAATGTTAGCATGAAATTGATGTTTAATCGAATATTTATTTCAAATATTTCTTCACTTTACAATTTAGATCTGTGTGTGTTTGTATGATTGTTTGCATTTCCGGTAACTTTAGTTTTGATCTACGGATGAAAGAGAGAGAGAGAGAGAGAGAGAGAGAGAGAGAGAGAGAGAGAGAGAAAAGAAGCAAGATAGAGAGACAGAGAGAATGGATAGACAAAGAGAAAAAGATATACAGATAGAATACCGAGTAGGATGAAATAATGTTAAGTTAACTTAAAATTACGGTATTTTCCAATTATAGGCTCGTAGTCACAAATTTTGCTCTGTTTGATTTTGTTTTTGTTTTGTTTAATTAAATATACTGTCGATTAGATCTTTTGTTATGACTCGATGTGGTTGTGTAGGATTCACTTTTGGTTTCTGATATAATCTCGCATTAATCTCATACAAGTGTGGTGATAGTTCGCATCTGAAAAAATAAAACCAAACAACAGCATTAATAATTGTAAATTTAACCGTTACCTGCTCTTTGGGTAGAATTCTATCCAATGGGATAAATTTCAATATTTTTCGGAGGAGCAGGTGACGGTTAAATTCAATAGAATCAAATTGAAAGAAGGAAAAAATCATTCATATTAGAATTTGAACAACCAAAGAAGGAAAAAGAATATTAAAAATCTCATTAGAAATATAATTATCTTCACCAAATAAATCCTATAAAAAATCAATTAAACAATATACCGAACATTAAACCACCAGTCACACACGAAAACGGCTTGTGAAAACTGCGTTCCATTTGGGCAAAGAAAAGTGGCTTGCCGACCATCGATATCGCAATAATGCCAGGCTATAACATATGAGAAGAAAACAACAACAAAAAATGACATGAATTGAATCATTTGTTTTAAAATATTCAATGAGATGTATTGAAGTTGGATTAAAAACAATGATTGAAACAGCACTGAACAGAATTAAATACGCACCTTGACATCGAGTTTCTGTATCGGCAAAAAAGCCCGGATACTTTTGTTCATCGCAATAGAAATTGGTATAAGGTACAGCGCCTAGCAGCGGATAATCAACACCCGCTCTACCTACCACGACAAAACAGAATACACACACACACACACACACACACACACACACACACACACACACACA